TTCCTTCCTCTTCAGGGGGCGAACGGAAGCCCAATCTGCTTTCAACGCCTTCCTGCTTCATGTTTCTGCCCACTTCTTCCGAACGACGGCTCTCCTAATACTGCTGTTTTTGTTGTTCTTGCGTTCCGCGAGGGTGGTGAATGCCCCTGGCCTCCCGGAACTCCCTCTGGCCGCGCGTCGCTGGGCACAAGCCGGCACGGCGCACCCTTGTGATGGAGAGCTGGAGCGGGCACCGAAGGACGAGGCGGAGGCACGAGGCAGACTCTCCTCTCCCGTCATCGTGCTCCTCCTGTGCTTCTGCGCTGTACCAGCGTAGGCTAGCGGTATGTAGTCGCGAGGGGAGGGGGGTGCTGCGAAGGGACGGCGCGAGTGAGGGCCAGGGGGGGGGGAAGGGCTGGGGAAGGGAGGGAGGGTCGGACGCGGGGAGGAGGAGAAGAGGAGAAGATGCTGGAGGAGGGGAGCATGAAGGAGGGATGGGGAGGTGGAGGGATGGGAGATAGTCAGGGCCAGAGCCTTGTGTCCAGACTTGGGCTTTCAGCTGTGGGCCTTTTTTGTCGCGCGAGATGGCATAAGGCGAAAGGACACGGAGAAGCGGAACGGACAGGAAAGCTGGCTTCTGGACAAGCGGAACGGAAAGAAGGGGGCTACGTAGGAGCTGAGGGAGGGACAGTGGGAAGAGGAGCGAAGCCAGGAGCCAAGGATGGGCGGAGGGACGAGAACGACATTCCTCCCCCTCCCCCTCCCCCTCCTCCCCCCCCTCCTCGCGAGGCCGGGAGCTCACCATCTCGCGCCGCGCTCAGCGCGCGTGGCCCCCCCTCGCCTCGCAGCGTGGGGGGGGTGGGGGCTGGGCCGCGCCCCCCCAGAGGCGGCTCGCACAGGGGGCGGCTTCGGCCCGGAGGAGGGGCGCAGGCCGGGGGGCAGAGGGATGTGCCGCACAGGCCGGGCGGAAGGCGGCGCGCGGCAGCCTGCCGCGGGTCCTGGGGCCCCCCCGCTCCCGGCGCCGCCGTGCATGCAGGCCCTCCGCGGGGCCGGGGCAGCGTGTGGGAGGGGGGGGGGGGGCTCCACGGCGGCGGGGGCGTCCGACGGCGACCTCGGCCCAAGGCAGGCCGGCGCGGCGGGCTCTCGCGGGTGTGGGCAGAGTCTTGCGCGGCGGTGCGTTGTCACCAGCGTATCTTGCCGCGCACGCGGCCGTCTGCGACTCAAACGGCGGAGTCCCCCTAACTGGCAGCTTGCACTGGAGCGCAGCCGAAAAGCCAGCATCGATTGACGCCTTTGGTCGCCCTTTGCTATCCTTCCTCCTCGAAAAATACTCCTCGTTGCACCAAGCATCGGGACAAGCATCGGGACACGCATCGGGACAAGCATCGGGACAACCATTGGGGCAACCATCGGGGCAGTCATTGGGATTTTTTCTATCGGGACAAGCATCGGGACAACCATCGGTGCAACCACCTCGTAGCTACCGGTCCAACTACCCAGCTTCAGTTTGATCTCCCTATCTGCTGATCTCGCTATCAATATGTGTGTATCTCTCTCTCTCTCTCTATATATATATATGTATATGCCGATTCCACTATCTATCGTCACACGGTGCAGCTATCGATCTCGCTATCAATATAGTGGCTGGTTGCATCATCTATCGGTCTCATACCGTTCCGCCCGATCTCACGATCATTCTGTCGATTGAGATCACAAATTATTCATCCATCACGTTACCAACATGTCATCAAACTACCTGTCGTACTATCCATGGGCCTCACTGTCTACACCCTGTCGTACTATTCATGGGCCTCTTTGTCTACATCTCACTATCCAACAGCTTCTCTATACCACTATCTGTCTAGATCCCACTATCCAACAACCATCGAGACAACAATCGGAACAACAATCAGTCGGGTAACAATCTATCGGGACAATCATCGGTACATCCAAGGGGACAACCATCGGGACAACCCGCGCGCCCATCTGGGCGCGGAGTTCTCGAGTCAGGTCCGCGGGGGCTGGGTGAGCAGCGGCGTTTCTCTCGCCGTGGGTTCCGCGTGCGAAACCGCCGACCGCGGGCGCGCCCCCCCCCCTGTTCGCGGCGACGGCGGCGCGCCCGTGTCTTCAGTGATACTGTTAGTGTTTGTTCTAACATTTTAAAATTTGGTGCTCGGCCTAGTGTTTCAGTGATAATATTAGTGCTTGTTCGCCCATCTCTCTAATAGATTGTAACATCTGGTACTCGGCCCCGTATTTTTCTGAATGGGCAGGGTGGGGTAGGTATACAACATTAGGGTGTTGCCCGAGGGGTTCGAGAAGGATATCCTGCAACAGACTTCATCATCTTGGGCTCTTTCCATTCAACACGAGGGCCCAACACCACAGGATGGCTGAGAATCGTAGACGCTCTACGGCTGCCCGAGGTACGGCCCCACGGCCGCGTCGCTGCCCTCGCAAGCGCGGCGGGACGTCCTGCGGAGGCAGTACGGCTTCGAGTGCGGTTGCGAGGCCTGCCAGG